GCAAGTACACTGGTCGAGGTGGGGCTGGCTCTTGAACCCGGCCCCTGCTAATTATCCCTCCTGGTTGCTCGGCCTGATAACTGTTGCGTTTGGAAATAAATGACACACTTTCCCTACATCTGCTCCAAATTTGCATTTCAGAAATTAGAGAACTTAGTTATATGGTATTACACGGCAGTCCGGGCCGGGTCTCGGAGTATGGAACTGATTGGATATTCTGCCCAAAATGAGAGGAGTTTCGAGCTCTTTCCAGGAAATTGAGTGGAACACCCAAACTGACATCCAATATTAAATATTATATTTGTATAGTTGTTCTGTAGAGTTCCCTGGCATCCAGCATCTGAGAGCAAAATTTATAAGTGGGGAAATTGAATACCTGGTTAGAATGATGTTCATCAGGGCTCAGAAATTAAAATATTACTGTATGCACTCCAAGTCAGGCTGCTTATAAAGGTAGAGCTATTAAAATATGATTAGCTGAACCGTATTTTGTCTCAAAAATGTCATACACCATTAAAGTTGAAAAGACCTTGATGCAAATAACCTTGGCAGAGTCCCTGCCCTGTCAGCAGCAATGTGAGTGTGCAGTCCCTCTAAGTGAGGGGACAATGGGGAGCCTCCCAGGGCAGCCGGGCTCCCTGGGGCTGCGGGGGCACCCAGCGCCTTGAGACTCTGGCTCATGGGCACAGGAGCGTGTCTCAGTGGGACGTTTCAGGCCAGGGCAGGTTCATCGGAGCGTGCGCGGCAGGGGCAGGTCTGGGTGCGAAACTTCAGGGAATGCCAAAACTCTGGGTAATCCAGCCAGGTAAGCTAATATTTTAGTATAATATTAAAAAAAAAAAAAAAAAAAAGCCAGCAGACTACTGCCTGCTGCCTGGCCTGTTTTTATAAATAAAGTTTTATTGGAACCAGGGGCCAAGATTAGGGTGGGGTGAGTGAAGCAGTGTTGTACAAGTTCAGGACCAGATCCTGCCTTCACTTGAAATTCGATATTTTGTTCTTCATGGATTTTGGGGGTATTATTTTTGAGTTTTGGAGCATCCATTTAAATTTTGGACCCGAGGCCCCACTTGCCTTACCCGGCTGCCGCCCGGGGCCAGGGAAATCATTATAGAGGTGCGCTCCCACCCACATCCCCCAGCAGGACGACACGGTGGCCTTTCTGCCAGGGTCCCCGTGAGGCGACTGCGCTTGGAATCCCGTGCCCACGGTGGATGTGGTGGAAACGAACAGCCCCTGTAGGAGAGCGTTGCCCCATCCCAAAGGTCAGCCACCCCTGTTTGATCCACTGCCGTGAACATCTTAGCGAAAACCACCGAAGGCAAAAGCCCAGATTCCCGCCCTACCTCCAGGCGCAGCTCAGGGGCTGGTGTCAGGGGACCTGGGACGTCTCCACCCACTTCCTGTGGCCTGGGGCATGGTGCGGCTGGGAAGGTCACGTTGCTGTTCCCTGAGCCTCAGTTTCCTCACTGAACTCAGCAGGGGACAACAAAACCCACGTTGCCCCGTCCCTGGATTTCAGCTTCTTAAACCTTGAGTCAAAGTGGCGAAGGCGCCAGCTCTGAAGGGCTCTATACGCCGCCAAAGCGCAACGTTCTCTTACAGAAATGGGGTCAGAGACAGTAATCGTCCTATCCAGGATCACACAGCTGGTGGTGGGGACGCGTCTTCAGAAAATCCCGGTTTTGGTCTTCACCAACTGGGGCCTGCCTCCGGATATGCTGGTGGTAGTGGGGTGGCTTGCTAAAACAGAAGGCTGCCTCCCACCCCCAAAGTTTCTGATTTGGTAGGGTTTGGGGGGGGGCCCACGAACCGGCCTTTCTAGCAGCTTCCCCGGTGCCCCCGATGCCGCAGTCAGGGACCTCGTTTGGAAACCCTCCTCTGAGGGCGACGGGGGAGGCCTAGGGTGAGAGCAAGGAGGCTGGTATCAGACTGGTCCCCTCCTTTGCAGGGGATGCTCCTAGTGCCGGGGAAGGGCACGCTGGTCAGGCGGTGTTTCCCGAACGCCGTGCCTGCACCTGCACGGGAGCTGCTCTGAAAGTTGTCGATTTGCAGGCCCCACCGCAGACCAGCTGGATCAGGGGTCGGCCAGGGGTGGGGATATTCGTCCTCGCCCCCTCCCAGGCGACTCTGTGGCCCAGGAGTCAGGACCGCTCCCCGCCCCCTCCATTTAGTACCGCTTGGGAGGGGTTATTTTTAACTACCAGTCCCCGTGCCCAGCCCCGCAGCATTGGAGTTCAACACCCGCCAGTCAGCGCAGGCATGTCGCCAGCTCCTAGAGCTCCCCGGAGGATGCTGATGTACCTCCAGGCTTGACAAGGTGTGAGCTAGAGGGCCATCCCCGAGCAGAGACCCCAACAGCGCTAAGAGGGACGCTGAGTCGTGTCCACGCAGTGGCCGAGCGAAAGGCCGTAGCTGATGGACAGCCCTGGGCCGGACGGCCGTCTGAAAAGCGGGTAGATCTGGAGTCATCGAAGAAAATTGTATGTGAGGACATTGGGCAGGGCACCACTGTTCTGTAAGGTTGTCTTTTCCTTCAAACCACTGAGGCCTGGAAGGGACCCAGATATAATAGAATTGACCATATTGCCCACTTAGGGTACAGACCACGCGGCCTCATAAACGGGCTGAGAGACCCATAAATTGAAATAACAGCACGCCCCCCCCGCCCCACCCCTGCCACTTGTTTGGCTTGGCAGAGAGGAGAGTTCATGCCTGGCATTATTATTACTATGGGTTTTTATGGTGACTCACCTCCCACATTTGAGCCTTCCTCTCGCTGCCTGAGGAGGAAGTCTCCCTGACGTCTGTGTTGCCACTAAGATTTGTCAGGGTGGTTGCGGACCTCTGGTCTCCCCCGGGGCCGCGGTCCCTGGGCTCAGGCCGCTTGGAGGCCCGGCCTACCGCCATCCCCCGGGGTCTTGATTTTTCATGCAGGGAGCACAGTGTCAGCCTCACTGGTGAGCTTAGCTCAGCGCTAGGCAGGAGGGGGGAGGGGTGACCAGGCTCTGGAGGGGGCTGACGTCACCTGGGGCCACTGCTTCTGGCCGAAACCGAGCAGGCCTTTTGGCCAGACTGTGCCCTTTGCTCAGCCATAAGCCTCAGCAAGAGAAGTTGAGTTAGCCTCAAATCCCGGGCGAAGCTGGGCATCTGGAGCGGGGGGCAAGACTGCCCGGGTTCAAATCCCCACGCCAGCCCAGACCCACTGGTCATCCTCACATGTTGCTGAAAACAACCACCACCACCACCACCACCAAGAGAACAAACAAACAAAACCTTCTCACCGTGCCTCAGTGTCCCCACGTGTTGAAAGGGAATCCTCACCATGACGCCACATAGGTTGTTTTAAATCTAAAGCGGACTCGGCCAGAGAGAGCAGCCCTAAAGCAGTGAGTGCCCAGGAGGCTAATTTCACCGGCCTGTGTTCATCTGCCCATCCCTCTAGCCACCTTTCTAAACAGCCCGTTTAATTTTAACTTCTTTTGCAGACATTAGATTTCACCTCTGGGGTCCGTCTAGTTGTTAAGCCAAATGCCTCCGTTCAAGGTTTTAGCAACGCACCTACAGAAACGCAGCTGGCCTTGCCTTGGTAACCTGATGGGCAGAGTCAGAATCCAGAAATTTTTAGGCAGGTAAAGAGGGACCCTGGGGGTCTCCAGGGAGAGGGAGGTACAGGAGCAGAGCTGCCCCACAAAGGACTGGACTTGCCCGGGGAGAAGCTGAATCCCACTCGCCCTGCCCTCCCCTCTGCAGGGTCTGGCACCAAGTGGGCTCACTGGAGCCCCTCAGCGGGGCCGCGGCTGTGCTGTCCCCTGGGTGCCGTCCTTGGCCCCTTCCTGGGTGCTATTTTCCGCAACTCCCCTTACCAGGATCCAGAGGACTTGTGGGAAAATTAGTCTTTGCTCTTTGTGAAAAAGATAGGCTGTGGATTCCAGTGGTGGGGGTGGGGAGTCATTGTGTTCCCCAGCTTTTATTATGGAAATGTTCAAACTGGGAGGCTGAAAGGAGTGACACCCAAGCCACCCCCCCCACCCCCACCCGATTCTCCAGCTTACACCTTGCTATTCTTGCTTTCTCTGGTACCTGTCCATCTGTCTGTCCCTTTATCCACCACTCATAGGTCAACTTTCATCCCATTTTATTTTTTTATGCAGACATCAGATGGCTTTCTTCTGAGGCTGACTTATTTTATTTTACCGTAATGTCTCTATTCAAGGGTTTGATAAGGTGGAGCCCGTACAGAAATGCAAATGGCTGTTCTTGATCTAACTCTCTCATAAAAACGCACGCCCGTGAGCGGTAGGGCAGTTCCTTGGGACAACGGCTCTGCAGGGACTGCCAGTGCCTCCAACCGTCTGCACCTCTGTCTCCTCCAAGAATTAAAACTGCATTTTCTCAAGCATGAAAATAAAACAAAAAGTAAAAAAAACTCTGAGCAGGTTTTTATTACCCTTTTGCAATATTATTAATCCACCCACCCACCCACCCGTCTGTCCATCCAT